AACAAACGAGGGGCTGTGACAAACTGTTTCGTCGGAGTTTCACCGACTCATATATATATATATATATATATATATATATATATATATATATATATATATATATATCGTTGATGCTTAACCACAATCGAGGTTAAGGTGGATTATCACTTACAGTGTAATCAGTTAGGGAATTTTGCAGATTGTTGAGGGTTCAGCCTCCCGACGAGTCGATGAAACTCCGACAGAACAGTTTGTCACAGCCCCTAGTTTGTTTTCATTTTCTCCCTCTCTGCCTACAGTTTATCAAGCAGCTCCGTTTGACTATACATATATTGACACACTGTGAATCGGAACGCAAAGGCATAAAAAAACAAAACGAAAAAATGAAAGAAGGAAGGAAAGTTTTGCCTGCTCATCGCCTCTTATGTACAATGCCAGCCACGTGGATGACAGGTTGAGTGCTCGCTGCCCCATCCCCGTGTGTCGCAAGGACCCACTTGCACGCACCTAAAATGCAAAGAGGTAAAGAAGAGGAGAAGGGAACCATACCTCGTACAGGCAAGACAAAAAGAAAGGGATCCAAAAGCAAACAATTTTTTTTTTTTTACTTTTCTTTAACTCCGCATTTGTTGGTAGTGTCGACAGCTTTATCTGTCCTACAATTAGTGTTGCTCCTGACCTGCTTGATTCTATTGACCTGCGTAGCACACCAAACGTGTTCGGAACTTCTCCGAGCGTCCTATCACGTTCAACTGTTTGTCCGATTAGAAGGCAACACATTCGCACGAAACACCTTTTCGAGGCCGGCAAACGCATTCGCCCAACAGGCATTCCCTGGCCGGGGAAAGGTCTGGGGCGGTGGGGTGGGGCCCCTGGGGGCGGGGTTGAGCAGGCGGCCTCGCAAGGAGCACGCCATTGCCCAGATATGTGTCCAGCCCCCTCCTCCTCCTCCTCCTCCTCCTCTTGTTCTTCGTCTTCATCCTCGTCCTCTGACTCGTCGTCCGCCATATCCTTCCCCTTCTACCCCCCCTCCAACTCGTCCTCCTCTTCTTCTTCCTCCTCCATCTGGTCCTTGTCCTCGTCCTCGTCGTCCTCCTCCTCCCCCTAGTTCTACGCGCGGCTGCCATGTCAGCACGCGCGCTTTTGTTTTTTYCTTTCCTTCTTTTTCCTTCTCCATCTTGAAGTTCTCCTTTTTCCTCATCCCCCACTCTCCTCCTCCTCCTCCTCCTCCTCTTCCTCCTCCACCTTCTCCTCCTCCTCGTCCTCTTCCTCCTCCTCCACCTCATCGACCTCCTCCACCTCCACTTCCTCCTCCTCCTCCTCCTCCTCCTCCTCAACCTTTTCTTCTTCTTCCTCCTCCGCCATATCGAAGTCCTTCTCCTCGCCCTCCCCCCTTTCCTCGTCTTCTTCTTCCTCAGAGTCCCCCTCCACCTCGTCCTCCTTTTCCTCCTACTAAAACGAACGCGCGGTTGCCACATCAGCGTGCGCAGCCTCCTCCTAAGACGAACTCACGGCTGCCACGTCAACACGTGCAGCCTTTTTGTTTTTTTGATGCAGAAGCGCGGGTGCTGAAATGGCAACTGTGTGTTCGAATTAGGACGAGGAGGACGAGGAGGACGAGGTGGAGGGGGGCAACATGGAGGCCTTGGAGGGGGAGGAGGAAGACGAGGAGGAGGATGTACATACGGCGAAAGAGGATGAAGAAGAGACAGGATGTGGAGGGGACAACTTGGAGGCCCTAGAGGGGGAGGAGGAAGACCACGAGGAGGATGTACGTATGGCGGAAGAGGACGAAGAAGACGAGGAGACTCAGGAGAGGGAGGAAGGCAAGGACTTCAATTATAAGTTCGATATGGCGGAGGAGGAAGAAGAAGATTCTTCTTCGTCCTCCTCCTCCCCCTCCTCCATCTCCTTCTCGTCCTCTTCCTCCACCTCGTCGACCCTCACCACCTCCTCCTCATCTTCTTCCTACTCCGCCATATCGAAGTCTTCTTCTCCCTCCACCTCCGCCTCATTGACCTCCTCATCCTCCTCTCCTTTCTCTTCTTCTTCTTCCTCCTTTCTCCTCCTTTCTCCTCCTCCTCCTCCCCCTATTTATTTATTAAAAAAAAAAAAAAAACCATTCGCGTTCGATCAATTTTCGAACACGTTCGCGTTCTCGGTTATTTGCGATCGCGTTCGCTGACTGAACGCAAACGGTATGCTACGCAGCTATTGACCAGTCAGGAAGAGGAGCCCCCACCCCGGCAGATAGGCCAGGCACGCTGAGGATGATGTGGATGTTCACAAGGATAACCAAGGAGAGCTGCACCGGCACAGCATTCAGCAGGACGGCTAGCACAGACCATCCCATCAAAACAGTTCTGACAAAGGACATGCTGTCCTCATGTCAAAAAACATCAGGATGTTCATCACATTGCGGCATCATGCAGTCCTTATAGCGTCTTTGCCCACAAAAGGGACAACAAATATCTGGGTGATAGGAATGTGTACAAGGAAATGTTGGACACCCTTCAGCGCATATTGCAGTGGCCGCAATAGATTGATAATGGTGATGGCGTAGATGATGAATTCCACAGCCAAGGCGCACCGCGTCCCTGTCCCAACATGTGTCACACGAGAGTCAGTCAATAATCCAGAATAAAGCATGATTCGGCAATGCACGCAAAAATTCATTTATGTTCAAGCCTACATCATCATCCCAGCATCCCACAGTTCCCACCGGGCAGCTGCACAAATCAGTGCCGTATAATGCCCACGTCTGTGCAAAATGCAGGCAGAAATAGGAGGATGACCTCATCATCCCACCATCCCACAGTTCCCACTGGGCAGCTGCACAAATCAGTGCCATATAATGCCCACGTCTGTGCAAAATGCAGGCAGAAATAGGAGGATGGTCATCGCCTGGCGTCGCATGATGCAGAAGAAGGTGGCGACCGTGGAGGGCTAAGCCTCCTGAGATAGTATAGTTACGACCCTCAGGAGGTGTACCATTATGGTCATTCAACAGCGTCAAGCTGATCAGCAATCGTAACAAAATGGGATGTGCAGTATAACATCGATGCTGATAAGCCTGTAGGCAGACATTTGTGGCTGTCAAACCACAAGCATTTGGTAGATCTGGCCACAGATCCGAATCGGTCACCAGTGGAAAGCCAGGTCTGATCTGGTGGGGTCGGCGCATGACTGACGAATGCCATCGACGTGGATATCGTCAAACAGATATATATAAACATATATAGTAGGTGAAACTCCGACGAAACAGTTTGTCACAGCCCCTCGTTTGTTGTCCTCTTCTCTCTCTCTACCTACGGTTTACCGGGCAGTTCTGTTTGTGACGATATATATATCTATATATATAGTCAAGTTTTTCAGGGTTGAGGGGGTTAACCAGGGCTGAAAAGTGGGGGTCCTGTTAACCGCTTATGAAAACAACGATTTTGTTACAATGGACAATGCCTCAAGCACACATTGCAGTAAGCCACACCGAAGTTCACATAGCACTCAGGACAATTCACTTAGCACCTTGCTCACGAAACACGTAGCACCAAGCTCAAGTCGCACCAAAGCCTGAGGCTAGGCTTTCCGCAGGACAATTCATGTAGCACCAAGCTCGCGAACCGCATAGTACCAAGCTCACAAAGGACGTAGCACCAATGCCCGAAGCACCTAGCACCGTGGGAGAGACAGAGGCGGAGGGGGGGGGGAGAGAGAGAGTAGCACCGAAACCCAAAGCACATAGCAGCATGAGAGAGAGAGAGAGAGAGAGAGAGAGAGAGAGAGAGAGAGAGAGAGAGAGAGAGAGAGAGAGAGAGAGAGAGAGAGAGAGAGA